TCTGTCTGTCCGTCTGTCTGTCTGTCTGTCTGTGTGTGTGTCTGTCCGCACGATAACTCGAGAACGAATTGAGCGAGTGACCTGGGATTTTCAGGGTCGTTTTTTGTCACAGAAAGACAGATTGAGTTCGAAGATGAGCATTCTAGCTCAAAAATTGGATTTTTAAAAAATCAAAAACAATGAGTCTAAAAAATAACGTTTGTTTGAAAATATTTTTTTAATGGTTCCCTAAGGGATAACTCATCAAAGTAGAGCCCTATGGGCGAAAATTTTGTCCGTTTTGCTCTAGCTCAAACCGTTGAGGCGCTAGAGGGTATTTTTGACGAGAATAAGCGATAAAATGTACAACCCTGCATGCTTAGTCGAGGTGATTAGCCGTTCACGGACTGTAGGACCGTACATTTGTCTACATTTTCCCACTACCCGACTCGGGTGTTAGCGCCGCAGGCCAAGGTAGATGTATGCCAGGCGCGTCGCAGCGTAACAGTGTTTCGTGAGATATCGCGAAGCCTGTTACGCGAGACGTGGTCTGGCGTACAGCTGGTAATAAAACTTACAAGAATATATCCAAGGCTTGTCCTGATAGACCATTCCGCTGAGCCAAAAAAGAAGAGAAGGAAGAAGCAAAGGTATCGTTTAGGGCTAATAGGGCCGATTTGTGAGTGATTCGTTGTCTTAAAAATATCACATTTGCTGTAAAAAATCATTTTGAACATGTAAGAGATGCAAAATGCTGTGGTAGAAGGTCCATCGAGGCCCAAAAAAATTATTTCCTTCTTCCTACTCTTCTTCTTTTTCGGCTTAGCGGAATGGTCTATCCCAGGACATAGCGCAAGGAATGCACTAACATTTAAAGGAATATCATCAGTATTTGAAGGGTCTTCTCCTTCTGCATTCTTAGCTTTGGGCTTTGGCTTTAGCTTTGGATTTATTTACTTTGTCTTTAGCTTTGGATTTATTTACTTTGTCTTTTTCCCTCTGAGATTGCCTGACTCGAAGTTTGGAAGTGTCTTTCCAATATCGTATCACCCTTTCCCATGGCTCTTCACTAGATTTAAGAAAATTTAATTTCTCCTCGAGACCCTAAATAACTGTAAGGAAGACGGGGCTAAAGTTGGCCAGAAAAATTTTCTGGCCAGAAAAAAACTTGTACAAATCTTCGAAAAAATGACCCCCCCAAAAAGTATCTCAAAACGCGTTTTACGACCTCTGGAACAACATACCGAAAGATGGCGACAACTTTTTTTTTGCGAATTTCCACTAATAAAACTTAGAAAAATGTTGAAAAAATGACACCGTTAAATAATCTCAAAAAGCGTTTCGCGACCCGTAGAACAACATATAACCAGATGGAGACAACTTTTTTTAAAAGAATTCGGCCCCCCGAAAAGCCATAAGCGTAGCACGAAACCGCTACTTAGCAGTCGTCCAGGGCCTAAACCTTGCTGGAACAAATTCTCCAAATATCAGAGTGCGTTCCCAGGCAGCCGGACTACTGCTAGGAACAAGCACAGAATTTGTTCCAGCAAGGTTCAGCTGCTACGCCCTCCCGAAAAGCCATCCGCGTAGCACGAAACCGCTACTTTGAAGCCGTCCAGGGA